CCTCTACTTCTACTTCTACTTCTACTTCTACTTCTACTACTACAACTACTCCTACTCCTACTCCTACTCCTACTCCCACTCCTACTCCTACTCCTACTGCTACTGCTACTGCTACTGCTACTGCTATTCCTACTACTTCTATAATTATTATTATTATTACTACTGCTAGTACTACTACTACTGCCACTACCACCACTACCACTACCACTACCCCACTACCACTGCCACTGCCCTTTACTTGCCACTACAACTACGACTACGACTCCTGCTACTGCTCCTGCTCCTCACTGGCAAAACTCTCAACTGGTGCAGATTGTAGGGTTCTGGCTTAGGGTTTAGGATTTAGGGTCTGTTGCTCACATGTCCGGTGATCAGGCTTCACGATTTGGGCCGAAGAATCCGATCCAGGTCCTCTCATTTCGACCAGAGTTTTGCTGGGAGCCTCGAATCCGGGACACCACCCCAGACAACGAATCCCCCAAAGATGATTCCCGACAAATCCTCCAGCTTGAGAACCTTCCTGAGTTACAAGGTTTTCGGTTCAGGGCTCTCGATTGCATGTAGGAGTATTGTGCTGAGGTCTGCCGGGTTGATCTTGTTCTGGAAAACCCCAGCCCGTGTAGGAACTCTTGTCTACGCCTGGCAAAATCCTTTCAAGAACCGCTCATAGCACTGCAGAGTGGCCGCCGCGGCGAGGGCCGCGGATCCGAAAAACGCTGCGGTGCGGCTGCCTGCACCTGCAGGCTTGAAAGTTACTGTAAGGTTACTACAAGGGATACCATCTACTGCAAAAGCGACTACGAAAAGGGCGACTACAAGAGAAGCCATAAAGACTTTTTGCGCTGTTAAGAGTTAAGAGTTGTGTTCCGTATATACAGTACCTGCTTGAGAGTTCGAAAGTTCGGGATTCGAGGCTGCACTGCCAATAATCTGGTCGGCTTGGAGTTAGTTTCCGGGCTCCCTAAACCCAACAAGAGGCGGAGCTTGCGAAGTGTGAAACCAGAGCACCCGCATCCTACTGTTGATTTGACTTTGCTTATTACAACTGTCTCCAGGTGTGTAAGTGTTGGTGTTATTGTTCTTCGTCCCACAATTGCTATTGTGATGATCTTACCACTGTCGGTAGCATTGCTGATTCACTGTACTCCGAAAAAGACCCTGCTCCTTCATTTTTGTGTTGGAGCTAGAATCCGCATAATATGCATTTTACTGAAGGAGAAGATGTTTGTAGCTACTTTCTTTCCTAGCACGTACGAAACACCTAAAAGCCCAAACACTCTCATGAAGTACTCGAGCTCCATGTGCAGCACGGCTTCGGAGGGTCGGGCAAGTGTCCAGTAGGTTTAGGCCCTTGAGCTCAACCTGAAGCTGATTTCAAAACGAAGATCTGATGGTTTAAGCCGCGCAGCGCCAAAATGCTAAGCCCAAACATTCCCAGAACCCCCCCATGACCCAGATTTGGAAGTTTGCAAATGTTTGCAAGAAGCTTCAAAACATACAGCGACGCCCCACCAACCGAGATGCAAAGACACGAATCGACCACCTGGCGACGCGAAGTCCTCGGGAGCCTCGGCGTTATCTCTCTCCGGTGTCCTGTGAGATGCCATCGGCTTGGCTTTAGGGGTTAGGGTTTAGGGGTTCAGGGTTTAGGGTTTAGGGTTTCGGGTGCAGGGTTTAGGGAGGGCTCTTCGGGGAGCTTTTGGAGGCGTCAGGCTGCAGGGGTTGCAGTTTTTCAGCTCAGGGCTCGGGTCTTAGTGTTGGGACATCTGTCCGGGTGGAGCTTCTATGCCTACAAGGCTGTCAAAATGTTGGCATACGTTGTGAAGCTTCGTGATTCGGAGTTCACTTCCCTTCAGTGTAAAGGTAGGGATCCGTTTTGGTGTAAGACAGGTCTATGGACTGTGACTCGGAAGTGTGCCCTGTCACACAGCCCTGACGCTATACAATACAGATGACGTGGGATGCAGTAGACGCTGCATAAAACGCAGGACTCCGGAACCAAATGAGATCCCGGACAGGACTGCTGCTATCCTCCTTCCAAGGCCCGAGTGCCTCGAAGAGGCCCTCAGTGGCGAGGGAGCCGGACCAAGGACGAAGGCACAGCACCTGAGCAAGTACGGGCGAATGTACGGATGCGCGCGTCGACGAGGCCCGAAACTCTTTGAAGACAACAGCAAACAGCGACAGCACCTCGCGGACTTTGAAGCAGCTTCACCATGAAACTGGTGCAAGCAAGCGTCACGGCTGCAGAAAGGACAATTGTGTACAGGCTTCGAGGTTTAGTTTGATGTGGATGATTGTATATAGAGCCCTCGTGGAAGTTGTAGCCGAAACTTCTTAGGCAAGATTTCCATACTTGCCAAAATGCGAGATCCTGCTGCAACAACTGGCCCCGACCGCGTGTCGCTGTGAAGCGCTTACACCAAACAACAGCATGGGACCCGAACCCACATGCCACTGCGAGCGCTGCAAGTGCCAGGAGGCGGCTGGCATGTCGGGACACGTCAGAGGTCGGAGGGCTTACGGTGACGTGACAGTTCGGGAGTCTGTTTTTCAGGCGGCTAACTACAAGACTCCTGATGCAGAGGTAATTTAGAACGCGTGAAGAAGGGACCGACTTGATGTTCACTGGCTTACCGGCTGGCGAGTCTTATGCTGGCTACAGGGATGGTGGAATATTCGAGCAGACGCTGATCCTGAAACTACGACAGGTAGAAGCTTAAAGGGTTCGGCTGGCATGCACATGCTTCCGGTCTATGACTTGGAGGAAAGCTGTTCTCATGATTTAGCGTTCAGCCACGTATGCAACGACAGCCGGGTTGGAGCTCACCTCCAACGGAAAGAGACTGAACAAAAGCATAGCGAAGAACCAGCACCAGAAAGCCACCAACCCGTTTGCACATGTCAAACTCCAACGGCTCAAACCAAGCGTAAATTTGCCAAACACTCCCGTACGAGAACAACCTGTCAGCCTGTTGGCTGCAGAGAACTAAGACTAAGAGCCTTTAATAGACGACACCGTACTCCCACAAAGACCGAGTAGCACAGATAGAGGACAAAAACACAACTAGAAGCTGGACGCAAGCCCCGACTGCTGGAACGGCACCATCACACCGGAGTCCGAAGAGCACCTCACAACACTTTGATCCGTACGACCGCTGAGAAAACGCATGTGCAACCGATCGCACACACATACACCACCAAGGCTTCGAGAAGACAAACAAGCACGACTGCCATCCACGCTACACACCAGAAACAAATCACCAGAAAAGAGAAAGTGCTGGACAAGCGCACAACACCACAAGAATTAAAAGCCCCCGACAGGCAGTACCGATCGGCCTGCGGCCGAAGTTCCGGGAAGTCCCGAGGCTCCTGGGGAGAATCTTCGGCGTTGAAGACTGGCAGGTTCAGTATTGGTTGCTTGCCGTGCTTGGTTTACGGTCTGCTTGCTTCCCAAAGCCAAACCTTATTTACGAGAAAGGGCACTGATGTCTGGGCGACCCTTCATGATCCTCATGGACCCTGTGTGAGTGTCCATCTGTTATTCCCTAAATGCTTAACGTAAGCTCGTCACGCAAGGGAACCATTGCATCACACCATCTGTCTCTTCAGGGGAATCGGCCTCCGCAAGGCCAAAAGCCCCAAGCCCTGCATTCCACACCAGACCCAAACACTGCACCATTACATCCAAACCCTCAACCGCAGCAGGCAGTGAGGTTTTGACACTTTCGGCGTGAGGACGGCCTCGCCACGCCACCCATGGAGGCAGGCGGCAGCCTCGGACTCTCACGAAGGAGCTGGCCAGTGTCCCCCCTCCCGTTGCTACTACGACGACCAGTACTACTACCAGGAACAAGTATACTTTCAAAAAATGACAATTGGATAAATCAATAACGAATGATAATATATAGTGCAACAAGTATTGTGACAACGACGATGTGACAAGTGTCATAAATATCGATTATTCTAATTGCTATAACTAATGATGACAATGAAATAGTAATGGCATTTGTATTCCAAAACTCCTAAAGCCTTAGACCCTGCAGAAGGACATCCGAAGCTCTACATACCGGCACTACACCAAGTCCCCGGCATCTGACTATTGGCCCCTGGATCGTTCGCCACGGAGGAGGGGTGGGGCCCACTATCCGCTTCGCTGAACTAGAGCGGCAGAGGTCAAGCGCAGAGAGCCACCAGCGTCAAAACCCTCTGCCCTTATCTGAGCCACTAAAGCGCTTCTGCCTGCACGAAGCTTCCGGCACGAAGCCCAATTCCACCATACCCGTGAACCACAACCGTGAAGAAAAAACGCGCGCATTTCCTCGTTTGCTTGTTGGGTCCTTTTTGCTCGACGGAACTTACAAGTGATCAGCCGGTAAAACTGCGATTGTAGAGTCAAGGGTAGAGCATGTGGGCAAGCCTGTCTCGACATGTAGTCCGCAAACATGCATTGCAGCACCGACCGGTCTTGTGTCTGTTTTCAATCGCTTGACCTGCTGGCCGCAGCAAGGAGCTCAACCTGCGAAGTTGCGCATGGGCATGCGGGAATAAGCCTGGTCTGCAATCGCAATAAGGCTCTTGTTCGAGCAATGGGTGAAACTTTCCGAATAGATGGCGAATGTGAATTGCGTTGAACTTCCGAAGTCTGTTTGCAGCTACGGCATGCATGCTTCGGAAGTCGCCGCAGTGCGCGGCGTGAAAAACATGAATCAACTAACGGACCTAAAGCTACACCTATACTGCCACAACAGAGTCGCTAAAGGCCTGCTGGCTTTTGGAGTGGGAGATGCTGCATACCAGACACTTGCAACCCCCGTGCGTCGCCCAGCAGGCCAGTGATGCACCGGCGAGCCACGCGAAAGTGTAAGCTTCGCCTCTGACATATGCACGTGCTGCGATGATAACCCCGGCAAATGTGATCGCCACGGAAGACAAGAACACCATCACGCTTTGCAGATAGTCCTCGGCACGTCACCAGCCAACAAAGGACCCCCCTGACCTCAACAAGCCTGTCTGGGTGCAAGTCCTTGCCTGACCTTGCACATGACAATCGGTACGTTTTGTTTCGATTTCATTTTGCGACGAACTGACTGTCCCCAAGCCTGCATTAAGCACAAAAAAGGACTGTGTCAGTTCTGTCGGGTGCTGCATTCAAAACTCATCACAGTACCAAATCTCAGTTGAAGCCAGCCAGCAAGCTTGCCTCTAAATTCATCTGTGGACCCACTGGCCCCTCCACCAACTGCCTAGTCACTCCTCATGTCACGCCTCATGCAGACAGTCTTGGGTTGGCGATGTTCATGCGTCTTTGAAGTGCAGATGCCACACCCGGCAAAAAGAGCTTCGAGTCTGGTGTATGCTCATGAGAATGGTGTGGATAGTGACGAAGCTAAGAATGCAAACAATAGTGGAACTGAAAGTGAACATGTATCGACAATTCATGTTGCAAAGAAGATGAAGCTGAACAGGAAAATGTATCCATTGGCTGTCCAGGTGTCGACACAGCCCGGCTTGTAAGGAGCGGCCAAGCGGTCGCAAAGAACCATGGCGATACGAATCGCCACCTGATGGACTTCAAGATTTCGGGGATTTGAGGATATCCAAACGAGACCTTCCTGCCTGACTGACAAGCTTCTGACCGAAAGTCAACGCCGAGACACTGCGGACCAGAGCAAGAGCAGGCCAAGAAGGATGCCACAGCCATAGCAGATAAGAAAGTTTAGAGGCATGCCTCCTTTGACAAAAGCCAGCAAGCCGTCTATGCCCACGCTCAATACAGGGGTTAGGATGATGAGCGTGTACTTGAGCGGCAACCGTGTGTCGGCCTGCTTTGCTAGCAGCTCTGCTTTCAATGGGCCGCGGACAAAGGCCGTGAAGGCTTCGTGGCTGCCGTACCATTCCTCTATGGCTGAATAGATGAACTTCCGGTCGAACTCTCTTTTGCATGCGACCTTGTTCAAGTCAAAGTTTCGCAACTCTGCAAACAGTTCCCTCTTTGCAAGCAGATTCTTCCTCAGGAAATGGAAGACCATGCAAAGTGGAAGGAAAGCTGGAAGTAGCATCACCACCGCAGCGGCATCTACCACAATTAACAATAACATGAAGGTCACCATGGTCACGTAGTTTCCCAGCCAGAGCTTGACAACTGTGTTTTCGAGGAACAATGGTGCGAATGTAATGCAGCCTTGAGGATTCGCGAACCGGTATGCAGCGATCTCGAAAATACACCAAAGCCGCGACCTCAAGGAGTTTCGCATGTTTCGCTGTAAGATGC